GCATGTATCTTTTTGAATTAGGGTTTTTATGTTTTCCAGATATTTGCTGAGGAGGGGAACTGCTGGATCACCCAGTAACTCTTTTTCAATTTTTTAAGGAACCTCCGTATTGTTTTCCATAACAGCTGTACCAATTTACATTCCCACCATCAGTGTAGGAGGGTCCCCTTTCCTCCACACCCTCTCCAGCATTTATTATTTGTAGACTTTAAATGATGGTCATTCTAACCAGTGTGAGGTGATACTTCATTGTAGTTTTGATCTGCATTTCTCTAATAATTACTGACTATAAAGAAAGCTGAGCACTGAAGAATTGATGCTTTTGAACTGTGGTGTTCAAGAATACTCTTAAGAGTCCCTTGGACTGGAAGGAGATCAAACCAGTCAATCCTAAAGGAAATCAGTCCTGAATATTTATTGGAAGGACTGATGCTGAAGCTGAAGCTCCAATACTTTGGCCTCCTGATGGGAAGAACTGACTCCTTAGAAAAGACCCTGATGTTGGGAAAAATTGAAGGCGGGAGGAGAAGGAGACGTCAGAGGATGAGATGGTTGGATGGCATCACCAACTCGATGGACATGATTTTGAGCAAGCTCTGAAAGTTGGTGATGGATAGGGAAGCCTGGCATGCTGCAGTTCATGGGATTGCAAAGAGTCAGACATGACTGAGCGACTGAACTAAATAATTAGTGATGCTGAGTATCTTTTCATGGGTCTGTTGATTGTATGTATGTCTTTGGAGAAATGTCTATTTAAGTCTTCCTCACATTTTTTATTAGGTTGTTTGTTTCTTTGATATTGAGCTGTATAAGCTGTTGTTTATACAGATATTGACTGTATTTATATAGACTAGAAACAAAGTATCAGAAAGAGAAATTAAGGAAACAATCCCATTGACATCACATCAAAGGAAAAAAAAATTCAGAATAAACCTACCTAAGGAGGTAAAAGGCCTGTATAAAAAACCTGTAAGACACTGATGAAAGTAATTGAAGACTATACAAACAGATGAAAAGATAAACTGTATTCTTGGATTGAAAGATTCAATATTGTTAAAAATAACCACACTACCCAAGATAATTTACAGAGTCAATGCAATCTCTATCAAATTGCTAGTGGCATTTTTCACAAAACTAGAACAAAAATTTTTTTTTAATTTATATGGAAACAGAAAAGATCGCAAATAGCCAAAACAATCTTTAGAAAGAAGAACACAGCTGGAGGAATCACAGTCCCTGATTTAGATTATACAACAAAGTTACAGTAGTGGAAAAAGTATGTTACTATCTCAGAAACTAGACACACAGATTAATGCAAGAAGATAGAAAACCCAGAAATAAACTCATGCACTTATGGTCAATTAATCTAAGACAAAAGAGGTAACAATATGTAATAAAGAAAAGACAGTCTTTTCAATAAATAGTGTGGGGAAATCTGCATGACTGCATGTAAAAGAAATAATTACAACATTCTCTAATACCATATAAAAAATAAAGTAAAAATGAATAAATGAGCAAAGACCTGTAAGACAAGATACTTACTTAGTAAGACAAGATCTTAGAGGAAAACAGGCAGAATACTCTTTGACATAAATCACAGCACTATTTTTTTGGATGTGACCCCTAAAATAATGGAGGCAAAAGCAAAAATAAACAAATGTGACCTGGTTAAATTTAAAAGTATTTATAGCACAAAGGAAGCCATTAAAAAAACCAAAAATACAACCTATGGAAAAGAAGAAAATATTTGCAAATGACGTTATCAACAATGTATTAATTTCCAAAATATGCTAATAGGGTTCAAAGTAAATTTCAAGAGATTCCCAACTCCAGAGGCTGAGAAGCAAATTACTCTGCTTGTGCAAGAATTCAGGTGGCTGTTGACTGTGGTCCTTGATAGAACTGCTTCATATCATGATTTCACTGTGCATGCACACACACAAACACACACACACACACACACACACACACACATACACAGAGGAACAAAAATGTCACAAAACAACATTACTATTGCTCTGTGCTCTGATATTTTCTGTGATGCAAGTTCAATTCTACTTCATATAAAAGACAAAATGATGATCACAATGCACAAAATTAATTTCATCATCCACCGACTACATCTGAAGTTTGACAAACACTGTCCCTGCCTGTCCCCCTGTTGGGCTGGGCTCCTGGACCATGTTAGCATCACATCAGGAACTTTATTGTTGTTTCAGATTGTCACAGCAACCTTGCAAGGCTGACCCTAGTTTCCAGTAATGGAACTGTCTTGGAAGATAAATAATTTACCCTGAGTCTAATAACTAATGAGAAGTTGAATCAGAACTTAGAACTGTTTGATTCCAAATTTATTTTTTGTTTTCAATAAATGTTAGTTAAACTGAATGATGTTCTCATGAGATATTTTCTCCAAAACATAACAAAAGTTTAGTAAAGTCAGAAGATATGACTCCTCCTGTTTTGAGTCTCATTTGGAGAATATCAGTTTTGAAATGGGTTTTTTCATTTATGTGTTATGGGCTAATAAGTGTCAGGAGAAGATGTTGAAAATCCTACTGCTCCCCAGCCAAGAGCGCTTTGTCTTTACAGTGTCTTGTTGGCTCAGAGATGGAAAAAGTCTATTGATTTGGTTACTTGAAGTTAACTTGTCTGTGTGCAGAAAATGTACACCTCTCTTCCCTTCAAATGAGTAGCAAGCAGTGGTGCTGTGTGTCAACACCCTGGTTTAGGAACCTAGGAAGCTGAGAGCAGACTCTGCAGAAGGGGGAGCCCAGTGCTGTTTCTTTGAGTTGGCTCGCTTAGGTAAGCCAGGCCCATATCATCTTCCTGTCTGACTTCAAATTTATTTTGAATCCCTGTTACCCATGACCCTGGGAACAGCAGCAAGCTTCTGGGGTCATCTCTCTCTTCCCCAGGCTTATCCCCATCGCTGTTGATCCTGCCATGAACAGATCAGAACTGGGGGAGATGTGATAGCAGCAAGGACCTGGGTAGGAACCAGAGACAGGGTAGTGGGGGCCTAGACTGTCAGTCCTTGGGGGAACTTTCAAAGATGAATACTGTGTTCTTAAGAAGTACTCCTCAATTTGTATTCAAAGTTTCAGGAAAAAGCAAAAGTGAAAGCTTTTCCTAAATAATTTCCTTAAACACAACAGGTAGTTGAAGTGTATGCGTCCTTTGTGCTCAAGATCTGAAGTAGTTAAGTATATTCCCCAGGAAGAACACCTGTTGAGATTATATTCAGGGAGTACCTGCTTACTTGAAAGGACCTGGATAATGGAGGGAAGATGGAGAAGAGAAGGGTGGGGAATTCTGGGGACCAGCCTCCCCTCACCTTGCCGGTTGTTTGTGTAAACTTCACAGATACAGCTAAAGGATGAGAAATAGCCTGCATGGGGGAATCTTAGGGTTGAAAATTAAAAAGAGTAAAATGTTTTTATAAAAATATAAGGTACAATGATGGTTATTCTCCTGACAAGGAACTCTTACTATTGCTTGGATGGTTGTTAATCTTTGTTTCTAAAAAGAGTTTTAAGGAAAACTTTAAATTTGAGTCTGTGGATTTTTCAGTTCAATTCAATAATCATCTTGAAATGTTGTACGACTGGTGACTTTCAATGCTTTGTAGCTTATTGGTCACTTAATCAACTTTGTGCAAATGAAGCTCCCTACATAGTGTATTTTTAACTTTGGATTTTCCTTAGGGATGTATCTCTTTTGGTGGCTCACTGTCCTGTGCCTTCTGCACTCATTTCTCAATCACTAGACTTAAAACTGAAACAACTGGGAAAGAAGATATGGGAGGCTCTCTGAGTGTCATTCTTCATCATAACTAGGGAAGAGAAATATCTATCTTCTTCATCTTTCTTCTCAGGCTTTTATGAAGTTAGAAGGAAAGTCAAGCCCCAAGGCCAGGCGGGATTTGAACATGGTGATTTCCTGGAGCAGTTCCGGGCAGTTGTGGAATAGTCAGGTCTCCTCTTGTTCCTACACATGTGCCTCCCCTTGCTCTGCCCCCTTCACTGAAAGGAGCCTATTGGGCTCTTCTCTGCTGTCCATATTCTTATGACCTGGCTTATGAGAGCCTTCCAGAAGAAAATGTAAATGGTCTACATGAGCTTATGTACAAGATTCTCTCTTGAAACTCGGGAGGTGTGTTTCCAATGTAATATACTTGTGGCTCCTCCTGATGATGAATTGGTAGATGAATAGGAAAAGCTATTTAAATAATTCTGTTATGGCTCACGTCACGGTGGGTTTCCAGGTCCTCCTGGCCTTGCAGTTAGCAACAAGTTTCCGTGAGGCAGGTCATCCTGACACACAGGTGAGAGAATGTGGGGTCCAGCTGATGTAGAATCAGAGGTGATCTCTCCATGGACAGAGGTGCCTCAGGCCACAGGAGCTGACGTTCTCTTTGAATGTGCGGGGATGTTCCATTCATACCTGGAGAGAGATTCCATACCCTACAAGACAGTCTGACCAATGGAGAAAATAGCTGAGTTTATTCTTCATTGCCAAAGTATAAATATTGAATGGTTTTGCTTTGAAGCACAAACCTCAACTAATCATGTAGTTGATATTTCCCAGTCACACCAGGATTGACAGTTAATTTATGTAGCTCTTGATGTGAACTTTCTCATGTGATTATAATGTCAGTTTGTGTGTGTGTGTTTAAGCAGATATTTATTATCAGAATGGCAACTTTTTTCAAAAAATAAAATTTTCCTTTTTTTTCTTCATTTATTTTTTCTTAAGATGAAAATACTTCTTAAACACTTTCTTCGGTTAATGTTTAATAGTCCAGAGGATTTTTTGTGGCACACTTTGTACAATGGAAAATTATTTTAGAGATACTGTTTTGTAAACATACATTTGTAACTTTAATATTAATAATTGCAGTGAATTTCGATATTTTGTATTTTCATTCTTTTCTATAAGCATTGGTTTAAAATGAAAAGAGATTAAGGTACTAATGTTCACTATTTTGTGGTATTTAGGAACCTGTTTTATTCATTGGAACAATGAGGAAAAATTTGGATCCCTTTAATGAGTATTTGGAGGAGGAACTGTGGAATGTCTTAGAAGAGGTAATTTATGTAATGTTATTAACTTGTTAGCATCAGTATCTGTGTGTGTACATTCATAGCATTACAAGTAAATAAGGGAAGCTTATCATTTTAACTGTTTACTTTCTAGGAGAACAGTGATGAGATGGGTACACCTAAAATGTGTGATGTGTGTATTGATAATGAAAACCAACAATATAATTCCTCATGTTTTCATTTTAGCTTTTTCTATAGAACCCCAAGCAACTAGATACATTATTTTGTCTTTAACAGAGCATTAAACTAGACATTAAAACTGTGGGATCAAATTCTATGAGTGACCTAGTAAATTAATTACCCTAATTACCCTCCAATGTTCATTTTATTCCTCTGGCCTTAGGGGCTATATAAGTGGAGACACTAGTTTTTCATTATTAACTGAAAGATAAACAAGATCATTCCAATAAAATGCTATGAAGTTCCATAAGAAAGTGTTTGTAAAAGTAAATTATTTAGTTGGAATGTGATGATGATTGAGGATTATATCATTTTAATGCTGCAGCATGAATGCAGGTAATAGAACCCTGGAGCTTTGGCTCAGTTTTTATATGGGTATGTTAATTTCTAGAGGAGCTCCTGTTATTTGTGTCATATTTCCCCTTGCCCTACTTCACTGAATTTCCTTACTCTTACATGAAAATAATTTGACTATTAAGTCGTTGTTGGTTTGTATATTGTAATACTAACTATTTTGTGTATTAGCCCTAGTTTTGTAAATTGATTCTACTGATGGCAGAAACTAGATTTCTAAACTGTAGACAGACTTCTAAGCTCTCATGGGACCTAGCTGTCTTTTGGTTTTAAAAAGTAGCACTTGATAAATAGGTACTAAATATTTGGTTTATTGCTTCATTTTAGAGAAGTGTGACTTCTTTCTTTTTTTTTGGCTTATTTCTTAAAAAAATTTTGTGTTACACAAATCCAGCATTGATAGTATCTCTGTTAAGACACAAGTGTGTCTCATCACACAGGGAACCAAGATACAGAAATCTGGGCATCAGCAGCCTGTGCATCAGGAACCACGTGCTTCAGTCCTTGCTGTGGGACAGCTCACATGTCCATTTCCCGGGGCCTTGTATTAGGTGAACGGGCTCCCCCTGACTTCCTTTACTGCTGGCCCTGCTCTAGTAAAAGCTCTTCCCCATCTGTTGATTGCATTTCCCTGTCTCCTTCCAGCCCACACTAGCCTTTCTTTTTGAGAAGTAAGAAGGTTCCACAAAATGTGGGAACCATCTGACAGCTGTGTTAACCTCCTATGAGAGGTGTTGGCATCTACTAGATACACTACACAGTGGGTTACTTTAAAAATGTTTATGATGACAGAAATAGGGTACCTTATAAGTTCAGTTTATTGTTTTTCAATTTTGCTATATTCCATTATTTTCCCAACCTCAAAAATGATCTGAATTATTTCATATTGAGATGTATAGTTTTGATTAGTATTTGCTCCATTTTCCTTAAATTATAACTTTTTATATGCTTTCCACAGTTTGCAGTGTGATGTGATATTCTGGAGTCAGTTAATTGTTATAAGAATATAATCCTTTTACATGTAATAATAGTGCTATATGTAAACTATCTATATGGATTTACTTTCTAATTTATAGGAACAGATATGTCATATGATGAGATTCACTTCTGCCTTCACACTGACAAATATCTCTGAGAGCTTCTTAGACAGGCATCGTTGCAGATTCTGGGTCTATCACAGTCATCAAGAGACACAATTTCTATCCTTTTCAGGGACATTCTCTTGCATAATCTAACACAATTATCTCAAATAAGAAATAAAACAGTAATATTACACTATCATCTAAAGTGTTCAGATTCTCCAGTTGTAACTTCTAGTTATTATTGTCTACTGCATCTGTTGCCCTTTTTTTCCATTCTGATAATACTTTATACCTTGATTTTATGATTACACTACAGAGAGCTTTGATATTCATATTATTCTTATAACCATTCCTAATTCATATGCAAATAAAGGCAGTGTCTCAGAAAACAGTATTTTATGAAAAACACTACCCCTTACAACTCTTATTTGTCATGAAACAGATATGGACAACCTGAAGGAAAAGAAAAAACCAGATTAGTTATGTGATGTCATCCAACTCAGGAGTAAGTGTGAGATTATTTCGTCAAAGTTAGAGTGTCTGTCTTAACAAAGACCAACACTTGCACCACAATTCAAATCTTACCCTTTAGTTTGTACACCTTTTATACTGTCACCAAATACCAATACCATATTTAATCCTAACTCAGAATTCTGCTTTCTAGGAATTGGACTCCATCAGGAGCACAGTTCAGGGTCACATTCATGGAAGTGCTCCAGCATTTAGGATATCGCAAAAATGCTACTCATTCACCCTTGGTGTTTTGTTATCTGAAGTTGTAGTGTGTCACATAACTTATTGGCCATCAGTCTGTTGGTTTCTTAATTTGAAGTGTCTTTCTTCTTTGTTTTTTCACTTTAATTACAGCCTGAGTTTGCTTCTTGCTCCATAATATTTCTCCAAAATGAATATTCGTTGAACTGACTCCTACCACCAAGTGTACTTTCAGATTATATTTGGTGGTTAAAGATTTGGTTTTTTTAATCTTATGAGTATTATTTTATGAAGATAGATTAGTATGAACATCACCTATATCCATATTGTGGGGGAGATAAGATATAATATTCTATCTTGTTTTTTTGTGAGTTTTCATTTACTGGAAGACATTTATGATATTGAAGAAAATGCACTTGACTGGTCCACTATTTATAGACTAAGCTTGGGAAATGTCCCAGGATTACTAATGTGTTAGATGGAGTTTTCCATTGTTTAAATTTGTATTATTTTAAATGTTAAAAAATTATAAACTGTTAATAAGATTATATCTTTAGAGAACAATACTTTCTCTAATTTTTTATTAAAGTTTCCTTTTAATGTACCAACTCCTGTGCAAAATGTACGTTGGTAAAGTTGATTCAACCATAAAGATCCTTTTAGATTTTCTGTTTAAACCACATTGGAAAAAATAGCTTCAATTTTTGAGAGACTTTCTGAACTAATTCCTAGGTGGGGGTTGTTGGTGGATGGCATGTGTTGGGGATTAGGGGACATTGAGATCTTTCTGTCCTGACTTGACACTACCATCCATCTTTCTCAGTGAACACTAAATGGAAACAGCTTTTCCCATCATATGGCTGTGTATGTAAGATACATAAGAAGTCATGAGGACTTCAGAACTCTAACATTCTAAGAGACTTTTCTACTTCAGCAGCCGTTTGTTTTCGAAATACTGTTCTTTCTGTATCCACAGGTACAACTTAAAGAAGCCATTGAAGCTCTTCCTAGTGAAATGAATACTGAATTAGCAGAATCAGGATTGAATTTGAGTGTTGGACAGAGACAACTAGTATGCCTTGCTAGAGCTATTCTTAGGAAAAATCAGATACTGATTCTTGACAAAGCCACATCCAATGTGGATCCAAGGTATGGAGCTGAGGTCCGTGAAAGCTGGAATCCAAATTGTAAATGTAGTAAATGGAAAACATTTAGTGATGCTGAAAAATGTTTCTATGCTCTCTTTGGCCCACAGATATCTTTTAATAATATTAACCAAAAACAAAGGAAGAAACCAAGACAGTTATATGCTGTTAATATTGTTATGAGGCTTCCTAAGAAAGATAGATTTCTAAATCCAACTTCTGATAGTTTCAAGCAATTTCAAGGGAAGATTATTTTCTATAATTTTATGAAAAATAGTAAATTTCTAAATAGACATTTTATACTTAGTTTTTTAGGAACAAAATTATATGTTAAAGCTTTGATTTTTAATTTTTAACTCTTTAGTCTGCATTTCCTGTCTTCACTGAAGTATATCAACTTCTCTGATTCCAGAACTGATGAGTTAATACAAAAAAAAATTCGTGAGAAATTTGCCCAGTGCACTGTGCTAACCATCACACAAAGGTTGAGTACCATTATTGACTGTAAACGGATACTGGTAAGACCCTCACCATTTTAGTTTTTTCACTTATATTCAATTTTGTACTGATCCTTCCTTGTAAAACTTGATAGAAACCTCCAGTAATTTAATCTTCTCTTGGTTTCTCTTCTCATTCCTGAAAACAACACGAGTAGTTAACTTTACTTTCAAAATGTGCTATTAAATAATATATCTAATAACCTTGTATTTTCATATAATATTCTTATATTTGAATTGTTGTTTTTTAAGACATCCAGTCATGAAAATATTCCAAACCCAAGTTATAGCTTCAAGAGGCTAGAACACAGTCATTTTCACTGTATCACAGTTGTTTCAGCATTTTTTGATTCCCTTAATCAAAAAATTAACCTCTCATTTAGACTGCCAGGAGGTTTTTGGCTAAGGTTGCAGAATTTTTCAGCTCTTGCTGTCAGAGGGAGTGCATGAGAAGGAAGGGCTTCCTGAGAAAAGCAGAAAGGATTTAATATAGGAAATTTTCTACTTAAGAATAGGAGGCTAGAAAAAGGAAAGGAAGCACTGGGGTAATGATTTTAGGAAGCAGCTACCATGTCCGAGGACAGATCTCCAGACCTAAGAACTCAGAAGAGAGGACCTACAGCTGGTGCTCAAGCCTCCAAGGAGAGGTCACTGCTCAGTTGCTGGTCATATGTGCTGAGGAAGCAGGATGGGGCTATTTCTTCATGTGCTAATAGAAGCTCGGAGCTGGAGTCAGGTCCCACTGCTGAGGTGATGCTGCAGGAACAGCCAAATCCCTTAGAACATTAGTTCTGTCCCATTTTCAGTCTCCCTCTAGTGCCCGCTTACTGGCACAACCTAAAAAGAGGCCAGCTTGCCAAAGAGCCTCTGAAATGTGATGTGCAGAGACTGAACCTGTGCATCGCAGGTGAGAGTTTGAAAAGAAAGGCCTATCAAGGTTGAGAGGCTGTAGATAAACAACTAACAAGTCTGCAACACAGTAGGTCCAGGCACTGCACATGTGGTAGGCTCCAAGCTTTGGTCTCTGGATATCTGTCAAGTATCTGCCCTCCAGATTTGATTGGCTGTTTCCTCTCAGTTATTTAATATTTCCTTCCTTATTTTCTTTTCCTTCCCCCCTCCATTCCTTATCTCTTTTCATCTTCTTTCTTTGTTGTTTCCCTCTGCTGCTCACTGAGTTTCAGTAAATGATAGAGTGTGGCTTTATAAAACGATATAGAAGGCATGGCTCAAAGGAAAACTTTTGTCTGCATACACTCTCAAAAGAATATGTTTGTCACTCAGTCATGTCTGACTCTGCCTCTCCATGGGCTGTAGCCCACCAGGCTCCTCTGCCCATGGGATTTTCCAAGCAAGAATACTGGAGTGGGTAGCCATTCCTTTCTGCAGGAAATCTTCCCAACTCAACTATTGAACTCAGGTCTTCTGCATTGCAGACAGATTCTTTACTTTCTGAGCCACAAGGGAAGTCAGTCCCTAAAGAATGCAAGATATATTTAGGTATTTTGATAGTCTACACAAAATAGGTAATAATCAACACTAAACAGTAGCATCCAAACTTCCTTATGTCTTATGATATTGGAACTGTCTCTTTTGATTTCTTAGACAGTTTCTGGAATATTGCTCCTTCCCCCTTCCCCCACTTCACATGCATTGTCAGATGGATCATCAGTGGGGACATTGGGTAGATAAGATATCAGGCTGTCAGCATTGAAGCAGTGCCTGTAGCCTCACTCACCAAGCTGGACATACAGAGAAGTGAGCTCCAAGGAGCCCACGATAGAAGTGGGGCATCCCCAACCACTGAAATGCTCTAGGCTCTAGTAGTGTGGCCAGTTGTCTAGACTAGAGCAACTCAGTAGGAAGCCAGCTCTACCTGCAAACTTTCATGAGGCACCAGGTTAAATTCCAAGACTACAGGACAGTAACTCAAATTCCAGAAGTGTTTTTTTAGCACCCAGTATTCTTAGATCCTCATTTTGTGCTCTTGAATGCTAACTGGAAAAGTAGCCTTTCATTTCTACTTTTTTCTTGTTGCTATGCTGTTCTTACCTCTTGGCACTGTATATTTTGAAGACTATCCCCTAAAGCATTCTTCTTCCATAATAAATAAATGATGCTATCAAATTTACCTGTTTCAAGCCCTTTGTCAGGCTTTAGAGGCAGCAGCAGAAAGTTGGCTTGATCTACAGCTCAGTTAGGGGTGTGTTCAAATAAATTCTTTGTTCCTAAATGTACCCTGCAGCTTTATTTTTGGTTTTTGGTATTCCAGTATTAATAGTAGCAGATTATTTTTATTATCTAATTCTTAGAAATACTGTCACCTTGAAATGTGTGATTGGTTAAGGAAACAGTGAGGAAGGACAGTTTTGAAAGCCTCTCCACTAGTTAGCCCTCAGTCTGATCCCTCAGCACCTCATTCACAGATGTGAATGTCTGTATCCCCTGAACCAATCAGCTTTGTTGCTGTTATCAAAGTGTGTTCAATTTATTTAATGCTTTACTTAACTCGTGCGTGTTACTTGCTCAGTCATGTCTGACTCTTTACGACCCCATAAACTGTAGCCTGCCAGGCTCCTCTGTCCATGGGATTTTCCAGGCAAGAATACTGAGTAGGTTGCCATTTCCTACTCCATGGGATCCTCCCAACCCAGAGACGGAACCAAGGTCTCCCACATTGCAGGCAGATTCTTCACCATCTGAGCCACTAGGGAAGCTTATCTCTTGGTAAATTTCTGTAGCCTCAAATTTTTCTCTGTTGATCAGTGTATCAATCTCTAATGCGCTTTAACAAGCAGTTTACAGCCTGGCCCCGCCCACCTTCCTAGTTCTGTCTGGCTCTGCTCCCAGCCTTCTGTTGCAGCTGAAACCACACTGACGGTCCTCATTCTCCACATGCATTGTCCCCCCTCTCTCACAGTTGTGCCTGTTCTTGATTGTTGGTGGCTGAGACTAAGGTGCCTGCAGTGGAAATGGGGAGATGGTTGGATTTGGGGGAGAAAAGGAAGAGGATCCAAGTGATGAATTGAATGTGGGACCTGAGGGGGGAGAGAGGAGTCGATGCTGGTGTCTGGGTGTGGAGACGGAGCATCCGGGTGAACAGGGAAGATGGAGAGGGGAGAGACATGTGAGGGTTCTCTTTGGAGCCTCCCACCTTTGCAATGACTGGACTTGTTTTCTGTGATGACCTTGTTCTTCACTGTGGAGGGACCCTTCCCACTCCTGTCTTGGGAGACCTTCAGTGTAGGGCTCCTTGATTAGGTCATCAGTGATGTCACAGGGAGGTCCCACCAGGAAATGTAAACTCAGCCACTTGTTTACATCTTGGTCTGAAATGGTTGTGGTTGCTGACTCCTCTTCTAGGAACAGCAGGGTTAGACCTTAGGGGACTAAGTGACATTCATTCCCCAGCTTCAGAGTTGGGAATTGTCCTCTGTGCTCCATCCACCCCAGGTGTAAATCTTATATTTTGTTCTAGAGCTTCTGATTACCGGTTGATTTTCAATTCAACAAATCATCACAAATAACAAATAATGTTCTAACCTTTGATTTTTGAATCAGCTTCTTTATTGCTTGCTTTAGAGGTACAGGCATACTTTGTTTTATTGAAGTTTCCAGATAGTACTTTTTTAAAAATTTTTTACAAATTAAAGTTTTGTCAGCAAGTTGACAAAGTCTCCAGGTACCATTTTTCCAATAGCATTTGCTCACTCCATGTCTGTGTCACCTTTTGGTAATTCTCACAATATGTCAAACTTTTTCACTATCATTACATTTGTTATAGTGATCTTTGATCAGCAATCTTCAGTGTTATTTGCTGAAGTCTACGATGATAGTGTTTTTCTGCAATAAATTATTATTATTATTAAATTAATTTTTAATTGAAAGAGAATTGCTTTTTAGAATTTTGTTTCTGTCATACATGAACAAGAATCACCCATAGGTACAGCCATTAGCAATAAATTATTTTTAAATTAAGGTCTGTACATTGTTTTCTCAGGCATAATGCTACTGCACACTTGCTAGGCTACAGTATAGTCTAAACATAACTTTTATACACCCTGGGAAACAGAAATTTTGTGTAACTGAGTTTATTGTGATATTCACTATATTCTGGTATTCTGGAACTGAACCCTGAATATCTCCAAGGGATATTGGATCTGGAAAGCAGGTGACTGTCTGTTCTGAAAGCTTTAATGTAGACATGAGACAAGTCAACCTGCTGCAAAACCTGATGATCCAGAGGGCAGGCAGCCAGCCTGAGGGAGGAGCTGGGGAAGATATTGATGAAGGGCATAACTGACAGGGTTGTCACCATAAAGTCCTGTGGTTATAGGTACTGAAGGTGTTGTTTAGTTTCTAAGTTGTGTCTGACTTTTCTGCCACCCCATGGACTATAGCCTGCCAGGCTTGTCTGACCATGGGGATTCTCCAATCAGGAATATTAGAGTGAGTTACCATTTCTTGTAACAAGTTCATTTTGTTGCACTGGTGAATATATTTGCACAAAAACAGAAGGGGATGGTTTTGCTTTGTTGTTGCTCAGTTGTTCAGTCATGTCCAACTCCTGGTGACCTGATGTACTGCAGCACCCTAGGCTTCCCTGTCCTTCGCCATCTCCTAGAGTTTGCTCAAACTCAAGTCCATTGAGTCAGTGATGTCATCCAAGCATCTCATCCTGTGTCGTCCCCCGCTCCTCCTCTCCTCAGTCTTTCCCAGCATCAGGGTCATTTCTAATCAGTCAGTTCTTCACATCAGTGGCCAAAGTATTAGAGCTTCAGCTTCAGCATCACTCCTTCCAATGAATATGCAGGGGTAATTTCCTTTAGGATTGACTGGTTTGATCTCCTTGCAATCCAAGGGACTCTCAGGAGTCTTCTCAAACACTGAATTTCGAAAGCATCAGTTCTTCAGCACTCAGTCTTCTTTATGGTCCAACTCTCACATCCATTTCATGACTACTGGAAAAACCATACTTTTGACTATACGGATCTTTGTTGGCAAAGTAATGTCTCTGCTTTTTAATATGCTATGTTTGTTGCAGCTTTTCTTCCAAAAAGTAAGTGTCTTTTAATTTTAAGGCTGCAGTAACCCTCTGCGGTGATTTTGGAGCCCAAGAAAATAAAATCTGTCACTGTTTCCATTGTTTCCCCATCTATTTGCCATGAAGTGATGGGGTTGGATGCCATGATCTTAGTTTTTGAATGTTGAGTTTTAAGCCATCTTTTTCACTCTTCTCTTTTGCCTTCGTCAAGAGGCTCTTTAGTTCCTCTTTGCTTTCTGCCATAAAGATGGTGTTATTTGAATATCTGAAGTTTTTAATATTTCTCCCAGCAACCTTGATTCCAGCTTGTGCTTCATCCAGCCCAGCATTTCACATGATGTACTTGGCATAGAAGTTAAATAAGCAAGGTGACAATATACAGCCTTGACATACTCCTTTCCCAACTTGGAACCAGTTTGTTGTTTCATATCCAGTTCTAACTATTGCTTCTTTTCCTGCATATAGGAGGCAGGTGAGGTGGTCTGGTATTCCCATCTCTTGAAAAACTTTCTACAGTTTTTTTGTGATCCATATGGTCAAA